CACCTGTATTAACTACAAAGGACCTCAAACAAAGCCATCTATGGTCAATTTTCCGGAGGGCACTACTTATTTGTGCCACTACATCACCTCTATAATCATGATTACCTAAAACTGCACGGAAAAATTCAAAATACAAAAAATATTAAGAAATATTAGCAATAAAAAAAAAAATAAGTAACATTTGTTTTTGGTTTGACATTAATTTAATAATAAATATTTACCACTAAACCATTGTTTTTGGAGGCTCTTGGCTGTGTAAATATTAGTGAATGATTCCACAAATGCTGGATCAGATTCTCCATTCAAACCATCATCATAGAAATTGTCGCCTGTTGACACTACAAAATCTATGTCTAATTCTTCTCCAATTCTTCCCATCTACCAATAAAAACCAATAAAAAAATCAAGAAAATTAGTTTCAACTATAATCAAATAACAATAATACGGTTTATCAAGTCTAATTATATGTTTTTCCCCATCATATTTTTTTCCCCATCAAGAGAAAATAAGCTGTATAAACTTCATGAGATCATGTATTTTATTATTTTATCAAAATGAAATACGTACACTACAATTATTTTCTTAAAAACAATAAAAAAAAATTATAAATATATATACCTGAAAAGCAACTTGTGATTGATTAAACTCTCCTTTTCTTCCCCAATCTCCAATAACCAAAAACTTCACCGTGCCATCACCTTTCGTGGGCTGCTCGAATATATGAAGCTTAGCTGAAATTTCATAAGAAAACAATAAAATGGCAGCCAGACAGAACCACACCAAATTAACCATGGTTATTTTCTTATCAACGCAGGCCATGGCTGTAGCTAATTAATATTTCTTCTGGCCAGCCAAATAAAAATTCAATTTTTTTTTTTTTTTAAAGAACACTGATGGAAAACAAATTAAGGTCGTTTTTCTTGTTTTCTATCTTTCTTTTTTCCTCGAAAATTTATTTTATGAAAGTAGAAAAATTGTGATGAAGATTGAAAAAGCATGTGAGCTTAAATATATATTTATATACGTTGGGAGAGAGAAAAAGGGAGGATATTTATAAATAAGAGAGTATCTGGCTTAGAGAGATAAATGCAGTGACGTAAAAATAATATTTAGTAAATAGCGCAAACAACAAACAACGTACGATATTTATTGGTCTCTTATTAATTTTGGAATTATTATTGTCAGCTCCTTAATTAATTAAATGGTTATAATTTTTTAATTATTATTGTCACACGTTATAAAATATTGGTTTATAATTTGTATTTTTTTTATATAATTTTTCGTGATGGTTCTCATTCCGATATTTTTTTGATGAAATGATTTCCAGCTTATTTTAAAATTAATAATGATTTTAGCTGAAAACATGTAATTATTTTTTTGGTTTATCTTTATTAACTTGGGATGGAAGAAAGAAAACATTTGAAGCGTTAATTGAAAACCGATTACTTGGGAATGATTGGATAATAATGATAATATAATCGTAAAATTAGAAATTATTGAAGCTGATCTATTATTTGGAGGGAATAACCTATAGAATATGCTGTGGAATAAACGTGGAACTAAGCGAATATTCGTATCTCTTACGGGACATTTTGCTTGGCTTTCGGACATTGGTGCTGCCACATCCAACAAAGTCATGGCAGTATATAATTGCATATAAATATATTATGTTCACTTAATCACTTTCGCACACTTCAATAATAATAAATGTAAAATAAGGAAGCAAAAACCGAGTTTCTGATTGAAAAAAAAAAAAATGTAAAATAAGGAATGCAAGAACAATTACATTAAACAGGGGTGACTCGAACACGATCATGGTAGAGAAGAATTTTTAAATTGTTTAGGACGTGCTTGTTTACTAGTTTTAATGAATATTAGTACGATACTCGTGTACTATATGGGTTGTTTGAAAAAAAAAAAATATAAAATATAAAATAATAAAAAAAATGCATGTTGTCATATAAAAGTGCAAAAATAGAAAAATACTAAATTCGATATTATTTCAATTTTTCAAAAATTTCTTTTGTACACAACATTAATAGTTTTATTTACAATTTTTTCGAAATTAAATTAATTTAATTTTATATAAAATATTATTTTGGGCTTTAATTAAATTATCAACTTATATTTTTTAATCATAATAATTAAACACCCATACATTAAATGAAAATGTCAACCCATATTGATTTTTTTTTACTTATATCATATTAAAATATCGATATTATTATTATTATTACATAAGTACAAAAATATATATCTTAGATAAATAGAAATAATATGGTGATATGTATATTCATAAGTGTAGAATATGTTTATTTAATATTAAGCAAAATAGATTAATTTGTTTTACTTAATTAGGTGCCTAATACATCAAGTGTTATATGAATCGTGTTTCACAGTTTTTTAACGTTATATGTAATTTTAGAATTTAGATAAATAATTATTTATTGTTATTAGATTGACAAAATACCAATTAGATTTGAAATTAATATCATTTTTAAAAAAATACATACCAATTTCTATTACTTTATAATATAATTTATATTTTTATTTGATATAATTTTTTAGTTTTATAAATAAATTTAAATTTTATTTATAAGGATATATATTACTGTTTGGTATTTTATATATATAATATGGATGTCAAATCGAAAATCGTTAAAAGATAGTTAATTTGATATATCATATATGAAAAATAAAATACAAAAAAAAAAGTTATAAAGTCTTAAAATAAGAAGAAGAAACATTTATAAAAACTAATTAATGAATTATATAATAAAATGAAAACCCCAAATTAGATTTGAGGGCCCAAATAAATGACTCACGTCTGAGTCTAGGTGATGAACAAATTGATTGGAAGAAATTAATTGGGAAATAATTTCGGCACTTGGAATTAATTTGGCAGCCAAGAAGTAGTTTATATTGAGAGAGTTGTGACATAGTAAGAGTCTGAGAATTATTTTCGCACAAGGAGAGAAAAATAGAGAAAAAAATGTTATATATTAATTTGTATCCAAGTCTAACTCTAAAGCATAGTTTTTTGCCAAATAAGATTCCGAAGCATGAGAGTTTGTATATTAATTTATATCCAAGCCCAACTCTAAAGCATAGTTTTTTGCCAAATAAGATTCCGAAACATGAGAGTTTGTATATTAATTTATATCCAAGCCCAACTCTAAAGCATAGTTTTTTGCCAAATAAGATTCCGAAGCATGAGAGTTTGGCACGTAGGCTCAGCGCATTTTGAAATTATATATAGAGGGGATGGCTAATTGTTAGTGAGTATATTAAAATAATATTTAAAATAAAATAATTAAAATTAATTTGATGTAAAGTAGGAGATATATGATTTGAAGTGATGATTAATTAAAATAATTTGAGTGGATGAATAATGAATTAAGGTTGATGTGGTGGGTATGAATGATTGATTGATATTATTTTATTATATTGATAATATTGATGATGATGGGGTTGAGTTAAAGTTGAGTTAAAAAAAGTGAGTGATTTAAAATATTACAATTTTTGTGAAAATTCTTGTATGCAAACGTAGTTTATATTGTGATTTTAAATTTATATTAAATAATATTTAAAATAAAATAATTAAAGTTGGTTTGATGTAAAAGTAGAAGACAAGTTATTGAGAGATAGTTAAAATTATATGAGCGGATGAATAATGAACTAAAGTTGATGTGATGTGTACTGATATTATTTAATTATATTGATAGTACTGAAAATAATAGAGTTGAGTTGAAGTTCAATTAAACTTGAGTATGAGTATGAGATAATTTGTAAACAAACATACTCTTGTTCACCTACTTAAGTATTATATAGGTTTTGGACTATTGACATATATGGATAATTAATTATATTAGTAGAAAATCAATAACATATTATAATAGTTGATTTGTGTATTGGATTGTATTATTTATTTTAGATAACTATTTAAATAAATAGTGGACTATATAATTATTTTGAAAATTTTATATTTATTCCACGACTTCTCTCGTCAAAACGCTCATGTCTCAAAATTTCTCAAAATCAATGTTTTGAGTGCAAGAAACTAATCAAATAAGCTCTTTACCAAATAAACTAATGAATAGATTTAAGGGTCAAATATCAAAATGAGGTTCAGTTCGCTAATTTACACTAATCCGTTAACACTTGAGCATAGTCAATCTATGTATATAAAATTAAGATCATATGAGAATGGAAGTTAGTGAAAAAAAATAAGGATAAACTATACGGTATGATATGATTAAATTAACGCTTCAAATTGGATCAATTGGTCAAACTTTAAATAAAAAGTGCATGGCTTTTTGGCATAGAGAATTACAAAGGAAAGAAAAATGAATAGTGTGCCAAAACCTAAAAGTCCCCTATTTATACTCAACCTCAAGACAAACTATTACAAAGGGTAAAATGTAAATTACATTCTAATATAACCGCAAGGAACATGAATATTAAGAATATTCATTTTGGCAATGCATTTGTGAATGCGGATGAAGTGATTTGGTTAACACATCAAAAACTTGGTCTGCTGTGGGCACATAGTGGAGATTGATGACACCTTTGGACATTTTTTTGTTATCTTTTTTTTTTTTTTCCCAAAACGAAGAATTTTCATAAACAAAAACAGAGTACAGAGGGGAATATTTACAATCCAGACAGATCCAACACATAGCACAAAACAGACTCAAATGCACTAGGCACATACCTACACAGAAAGCTAATACAAAGAGACGGAGTACCATGCTAGATGGCCTAGGAGGGAATGAAGGGACAGAACAGTTAGTCTATTGGGCAGTATATAATACTGAGGCCCTGAGACTACCATTTGTCAAAACAATACAACCTAGCCACTGCTGAAGCCTAGCTAGGGAAAAATAACAGCAAATAACAGAAAAACCAGACAAGAACACCAAACCACTTAGATCACCGAGGAAAATTCTCTCCATTCAGAACAGGCACCTTCCACCACCATTCTCTCTGTCTGCTTTTGATTTTTAAAGATCCAAAGGTTTCTTGATTTCCATAACCACCATAGAATGTAGGTGGTTAATTGAATTATGTCCTCTGCTTCTTTGTCTTTATGCATTAGGCAAACTTCCTTCCACCAACTTTTGAAGCAAGGGACCTCATTTTGAAGAGCAGCCCATTTCACAGGTGCCATCTTCCAAACCATTTGGGCTCTTGTGCAATTGAATAGGATGTGCTCAGTAGTCTCTATATCATCTCCACATGCTTTGCAGATGCAGTCCATCTTCATGCCTCTCTTGAATAGATTTGTGAGGGAAGGCAAAATACCAGAGAAACACTTCCAGATGAAGTGTTTAATTTTCTTTTTGACATTAAGCTTCCAGCTGAATCTCCTGACTCTAAGAATCCAAGAGCTTTGGTTGCTAGATTCAGGAATGTCCAATCTCAAGACCTTTCTCTGTATCAGATTTTCATATGTAGATGCAACAGTGAACTTTCCCTTTTTGTTAAAACACCATGTGAGAGTGTCTCTCTGGTTTCTGTTAATAGTAGAGATGCCCAGGATAGCTTCACATTCAGTTGGAGTGAAAGCAGTTTTGATGAGGTCTTCATTCCAGTCATTTGTTCCAGGCAGCAGAAGCTCTTCCACCCATGTTAGGCTACAGGCAGTGGTTCCAGCTTTCTTGGGTCTGTGATTTTTCAAAGCAGGGATCCAAGGGTCCTCCCAGATTTCTGTGCCTCTGCCATCTTTAACAATCATATAAAAACCCTGCTCAAAAATAGGATTTAAACTCATCCAACTCCTCCAAAGCCAAGAGCAGCTTTGAGGAGGTTTGGTATCAAAAAAAGAGCTGTTAGGGAAATATTTATGTTTTAGGATTTTGCTGACAAGCAAGTTTGGGTTGGAGTGGATTCTCCAAAGTTGTTTTAGGATCAAAGCTTCATTAAAAAGCTTTATATCAGAGAAGCCCAGACCCCCATGATCAGTGGGAAGAGTTAACAGGTTCCATTTTTTCCAATGCATCCCTTTAGAAAGATTATCCCCTTTTGACCACCAAAAATTGGCAAACAGTTTAGCAATATCAGAGTAGAGGCCAGAGAGCAAGAGAAAGCAAGACATAACAAAGGTAGGAAGGGCAGATAACACAGCTTTAATCAAGACTTCTTTGCCCGCAGTTGAGAGGAATTTGTTCTTTCAATTTTGGATTCTGTTTTTCACATTTTCAAGCACAAAAGAAAAGGCTTCTTTTTTAGATTGGCCAATACCCAAGGGCAGCCCTAAGTATCTAGTGGAAAACTGAATTTGGATGCCATTAAACAGCCTACATATCTCAAACTGCACAGGCAATGGAGTATTCTTGCTAAAAAAGATTGAGGATTTAGACATATTGATTTTCTGCCCAGAGTTGTTAAGATAACAGTGGAAAATTCTCAAAATTTCAACAGCCTGGTCAGGGGAGGCTTTGCAAAAGAGGAGAGTATCATCAGCAAAGAATAAGTGGGAGAGTTCAGGCCCTGATCTAGAAATTTTAAGGCCAGTTAAGGTTCCTTGTTGAATGGAGAGGTTCAAAAGGGCTGAAAGAAACTCAGATACAATAATGAAAAGATATGGAGACAAAGGATCTCCTTGTCTTATTCCTCTGGAGGGTGTCACATGACCACATTTTTGCCCATTGAGGTTAAAAGAGAAACTGGAAGAGGAGACACAGTTCATAATCCAATTAATAAAATGCATATGAAAACCCATTCTTAGCATAACAGCTTTAATACAAGGCCACTCAATTCTATCAAAAACTTTTTCCATATCCAGTTTTAAAGCCATATAACATTTGGAACCAGTTCTATGTCTATTTAGATAATGCATGGCTTCTTGTGCAATGATCACATTATCAAGGAGCTGTCTGTTGGGAATGAAAGCAGCTTGAGTGTCAGAAATGTAAGTAGGTAAGCAGTCCCTAAGCCTTGCTGCTAAGATTTTGGAAATGATTTTGTATGCAACACAACAAAGGCTTATGGGTCTGTAATGCTCTACTCTAGTTGGGTTCTGAATTTTAGGGACAAGGGTTAGGAGAGTATGATTCCAGGATTTAGAAATGAACCCAGTGTTGAAAAAACTAAAAATAGCAGCACAAAGACTCTGCTTAATAGTGTTCCATTTTTTTTGAAAGAAGAGAGGGGTCATACCATCGTGGCCTGGGGCTTTGTTGGGGTTCATGCTGTCAAGAACTCTCTTCACTTCCTCCTCTTGAACAGTGGCTAACAATCTGGTATTCATTGAAGGGGTTACAACCGGTTTAACACAGTTTAGGAGCTGGGTATCAATCTCCGGCCAACTGGATGTGAAGATCCCTTTGTAGAAGTCTGTCAGGCATTTCTCCATGGAAGCATGAGAATCACACAGTGAGTTGTCTGTACTGATCAGCCTGCTTATTGCGTTGGATTTTCTTCTTTGGGAAGTGTAAGCATGGAAAAAACGAGTGTTTTTGTCCCCCTCTTTAAGCCAGTGTAGCCTTGACTTTTGGCTCCAGTAGGATTCTTCAGCTTTGTTTAGATCATCAATCCTTTTCTTAAGAGTGTTCCACTGATTCCAATCTCTGTTGTTTCCCCGGAGTCTCAAGTCTTCCATTTTCCTTGTGGCTTCTTTGAGTTTCTTATCATTTTCTGACTTGAAAGTTGCACTCCACTTTAGCAATGCTATTCTAGTGGCAGCCACTCTGTGTTGGAATTGTGTCATTGGGTGGCCATTCTGAAAATAGTTCTAGGCTTCCTTTATGATGTCACTAATTCCTTCTCTCAACAACCATCTTTTATCAAAAACAAATCTCCTTCTGAAATTGGAAGAATTAATACCAGTGGATAGTACAAGGAGGCTGTGATCCGAGGAGCTCATAAAGATGTTTGTAGCTTCAGAGTTAGGATAAGAGGTCAACCAGCCTAAAGGTGCAAAGAACTTGTCAAGTTTCTCCTCCACACTGTCCTCTCTTACTCTAGAGTTCCACCAGGTGAATTGATGTCCCTTTAATACTATTTCCTGTATACCCATGTTGGCAACAAAATTTTTGAAGGGCCAGAAGCTGCTATCCGATCTTCTTCTTCCTCCCTTTTTCTCATGATGATTACAGATGTCATTCCAGTTGCCTCCTATAAGCCATTTATCTCCCCACTTTGATTTAGTTGATTCCAAATAAAGCTTTTGACTTTCTTTTTTCTTTTGATCAGTACTGAGGTATACAAATATGATCCATTCCTTCTCTTGGAGGCTGTTGTGATGGTACTCCACTTCCAAGCAGAATTTATGAGTAATAACTTGAGTAATTTCTATGTTCTTGTCCCAAATTAATAAGAGGCCTCCACTTAGGCCAGCTGGGTCCACAGACAAGAATCTATCTACACATCCAAGCTTTCTACAAACTGTCTTCACAAACTGGCTGGTTTGCCTTGTTTCACAAATAAAAGCAAACCAGGGGAGGTGGAGCTTTAGAGCCTCCTTGAGCTGGGGAGCTGTAGAGGGTCCTCCCAGACCTCTACAGTTCCATACCATTGACTTCATTTAGGGGTTGGGAGCCACTCAAGGCTGGCTGCCTCCACCTGTTTGTTCAAAGAGGGAGATTCTTTTTGCTTTTGCTTTTTTGTTTCCTGGGTTTCAGAAGAGGGGAGAATTGTCTGATTTTCAGATTGAAGTCTGCCCCTTTTGTTACTTCGAGGCTGTTTGGCTGTTTTCTCAGCATCTTTAGGGGGAGCTGGAGCCTTCCTTGTCTATTTTTTCCTTTGCTTACTTGCACTTGCTTCTGGAACAGTTTTTGTAGGTTTCACAATTTCCAACTCCATATTATGAGAATGATCTTCTGGAGTGTTTGGTAGGCCGGCTAGATGGAAATCAATGTCTTGGTTAGTTAGGAGAAGGATGGGATCAGTGTTTATGGATTCAATCAAATGGGTGGGTGGTATAGTAGTAAAGGCAGGTTGTTTTAGCTTTCTTGAGGTAATGTTAGGAGGGGGATTTTGAAGAGAGGTTAAGGCTAAGGTATTTTGCTGGGGAGGGGGAGGAGTTGATGATTCTGGTATCTGAGCTAGAGGGGATTTGGGGAGTTTGATAGGGTGGGCACTGGTAGAAGCTTTTGAGCCACTCCCAGAATTTAGAACAGGTGAGGTTGAGTCATTTGGAGATGAGGGGGCAGAAGTTGGAGTCTCCTGCTGAGATGGAGATGGCGCAGTCTTTGATCTGAATGAGAAATTTTCTGCAACTTTGAGCCAGTCACCGTATTGCCCCTCTTGGAGTTTGCCCATTTCTATGTCTTTTGCTCTGTTAGTGCACGACCTATCAAGATGGCCAATGCAGCCACAGTAGTAGCATAGATTGATGAGCTTTTCGTATTTGAAATGAACCCGCTGGACTTTGTCTCTTAGTTGAATGTTTGAACATCTGAGTAGTGGCTCTTCCAAATTAATAGTAACTAATAGCTTGATGCATCGACCTGTATTAGAGATTGCATTTCCGATTACCACGTCTTTAACTTTTTTGAATGCTTGGCCTATTCTGAGACCCACTTCCGCACACATCCAATTTAAGGGAACATCTTCTACATGGACCCACATATCCATTTCTTTGAAACATTCATGGTCTGCACTGATTTCTTCCACCCATTCTCTGAGGATTAGATATTGGTTTTCGAAAGACCAATTTTTCCTGAAGCAACTCTGGATTTGTCTGTTGTGTCCTCAAATAGGAACTGAAAGAAGTTGTGGCTTAATTCTCGAACAGTGAGCTGACCTCTTAGGTTCCATATTCGATGAAGAGCCCTTTTTAGCCCGAAAATCCCTGCTTTTCTGTCGCCTATGATTTTTCCGAACAAACTCATTTGACATTCTTCTTCGCCTAGTTTGACATCGTCCACTTTTAGAGGAATTATATCTGCTTCTCTTGAGGATAACGAGAACTTCCGCAAATTTTGCTCAATGTTGTCCATATCGGTTCGGATAGCGAGAGAGAGTTCAGACAGCTTGAAAAAGGACCACTGCAAAAGTTAAAAGGAACAAAGGGGGCAAGAAAAACTACAGAAGTGGGGAGGGAGACAAGAGGCTAAGACAAAAAAAGGGGGGGAAAGTTAAAGAAATGAGGAAAACCTAGATAGAAAATACTAAATGGATAAAGAAGCCATACATTAACTAAGATAGAGAAAAACGATCTAAATATTACCGGCTACTTACTGAATCGGTTAAGCCCTCATTGGAAGGAATGACGATGCTGCACTCCCATTAGAGAGAAAGAGAGCTCCCATGTGAGAGAAAGAAAGCTCCCATTAGAGAGAATTTAACGACCGAGTTTTTTTTGGTTTTTACATTTTTTTGTTATCAAATAATAACAATGTATTCTATATATTTGGTCCTCTTATGTTGCACTGGACTGTTTGCTAAAGAGATTGCTGATTTACTATATGAAAAGTAAGACAGCAAGACAGGAGAAGAATGAATATAACATGCACTGGATTCTTTTCTAAATTGCATTCACTTCCTTTAGGCCCAAAGTAATCCAATTGGCCCATTGGGCCGACCTTATAATTTCCGGAGCATAATTAACTACACACATATACCTCATTTTACAGTGTGTGTGCAGAGAGATAATTATCGTTGCCGGACGAGATGAAACTCCGGTACGCGATGGTGTGCTCGTCGAACCAGAACCGGAGCATGGAGGCCCACGCGCTTCTGAAGAGAGAAGGCCTCCACGTGGCATCATACGGCACCGGGCAGCACGTTAAGCTTCCTGGACCCTCCCTCAGGGAACCTAACGTCTATGATTTCGGCACCCCTTACAAATATATGCTCGAAGAACTCCGCCGCAAGGATCCTGAACTGTAAGCCCACTCTTCTTGTTTCCTTGTTTTAGATTATTTCTACTTTTTGTTTGCCTTTTTTGTATTTTTTTAGATGTTTTTTTTTTTCGGAAGCTTTTAGTTGTTGAGATAAATTTTCGATTAGTTTGAATGAGAGCAGAATGAATTTCCTGAATTGCAGCTTAGCTTTAGCATGTTTGAATTGGGTAGTTGTACTGCTGGGGTTTTGATCAAGTAATGATATCAGATCTGAAATTAATGGAAACTGGTGTAAGAAGGGTGGGATGATTTTAGGTTAATTTTGATTTCTTGCTTAATTATGAACAATTATTCAGATTGGTGACATTTAGAGCGAATTATTAGGATAATCAGCCAAAGCTATTAAGAGTATTGAAATATTGTTTTTTGTTAGTTTCCCTTATTTGTAAAAAGAAAGAGGTGGAAATTTGAGTAGTAAAAACTTGTTTGTTGTTAAGGGACCAAATGAGAGGATTAAACCAAATGGGTGAAAATTGCATCACTAGAATCCAAGTATTCGTGGTTAGAGCCTTAGAGGTAGTTCTATTATTGTTTGGTAGATGATTATCCTGGTTTGTAACATTAGCTATTTGAGCTGATTTCTAGTTATTTGTGGGCATGTATTCCTGATTACAAGGTAACTTAGCTACAATTGTCTTATCTTTTCATCACATTACATTATTGGACTTGTATTTATTTATTTTTTTATTTAGTATTTGTGATGAATAGGCAGTAGCATTACATGGCATCAAGCTATGATGCATATATACAAGTTTTTTAGCAGAATACAGCAGACAACATCATATTTCTTCTTATTGCCCTCTCTCTTTGAGGAAGTGTGAACGTAATTATTCAACTTTCTGTCCTGCCTTGGTTTCAAGTGTTGCTTATTGTTGTAGTTTGATTTATTAGCCTTTAGTTGTGAGGCTGAAGAATACCCATATGAGTATCATGCCACAAGAACTTTTTCGGGAGGGAAAATTTGTGAGTGTAATATCAATGAAACTCACCTCAATCCTGTCAACCAATCACAAAATACAATAATGTATTTGTAGGAAGCTAAATGTTGGAGGTGATCAATTTGAAAGTTGTTTGTTGAGGACTTGATAGGCATGAACTTGACGCATGATTAACGTACAAATGAAAAGTTATTTACTTGATATATTATGTGTGATACTTGAATTATTTAGTTTGATGAAGTATTTTCAGTTTTCTTATTAAGTAATATTTTATTATTGGAATGCTTCCAACTGAAAGAGTCTTTTCAACGTAATAAAACTTAAATTGAGGTTAGCTCTTTAAAAAACTCACATTTAATCTTATAACTTTGGTTACTTGGTGTTGCATTGAAAATCAACACTCTTGTGATACACTTTAAAATGGAGATGTCGTTAGCAATAATTGTGCGAAGGCAGCGTTACTTTTTTTTTTATCAGTTTGTGATGTAGGCTTATTAGGGATTCAAGAATAAGATGTTTGTAAAGCGCAAAAGCTTTGATAACTTACTCTGGCCAAATGATGTGACTCATTCCCCATCATCATCAATATAATAGTGATATAGACATTTTTTTTCTTCTTTTAAAGTGAGTTTGATTTGAGTATTTGAGCCTCACAAAGTTGCAATTATTAAGGTACCGACGAAATGGGATACTGCCCATGCTCAAGAGGAACTTGGCTGTAAAACTCGCCCCTCAGCGTTGGCAAGATAATGCTGCTGATGGCACCTTTGATGTGGTGCTTACATTTGAAGAGAAAGTTTTTGATATGGTTGTCGAAGGTTTGTGACTCAGTCGGCATAATTATCATATTCTCTCTCATTTGTAATTCTGAAGTTAATTGGCATGGTTTTTACATTTGCATATCAAGTTACAAGTTGAAAGCTTTGTCGTTAAAAAATTGATTTTAGGATAAATTATTTTAAATTACAACCGAACTATAGTCTGAGTTCTGTTTTGGCATTATAAAGGGCTCCGAATTGCAGGAAAAAGTTCTATATATACATTCATGGAGCATTTTATTCGGGGATTCATAACAAATTTTCTGGTGAATCATGCTAGGTTGTATAATGGATTTGGTATTCAAGATTGAATGATCTCATTAACTTTGAAATCTTTAGTTTATGCTTTATTATTTGATTGATTTTAAACTAACAACTTACAAATCCGTAATTATAAACTTGTTGAGCTTGTTTTGAAAGCCCTATGCTATAATATAATGCATATCAAATTCCTGGCCTTCTAATTTGGCCTATTTTTAAGTTACTCTAATTGACATTGTATTGTAATCGATGAAATCCTTGCCCTAATCCACTTCTCAAATTCAAGTCTTCCTACCTCAATGTGACACTGAGGAATTCATTCTATAAACACGCCATGTAATAAGTGATGGCAATGATTTATCATACCAATTGTTGTTCATCATTTGAACTAAAAGCTTAACTTATTTGATTCCAGTTCTTATGGCATTTTGAGTTGGATATATTGACACGACACGTAATTTTTTTCTCTCTTGAACTTTTTCCAATGGGAGAAGCTATAACCTGTTTCCTATACTGAATAAATCTCTTCCTATTGATGTGTTCAATGTCTGGTAAATAATGCAGATCTACATAATCGAATTCACGTGCATCTGAAGCCTGTTTTGATAATCAACCTGGAAGTAAAAGATAACCATGAAGAGGCGGCTATAGGCGGACGACTTGCTTTACAGCTGTGCCAGGAGGTACACCTTTCGCTTCTGCTTAAAAGTTAAATAATAGAATTAGTTTCATAAATCTGACTGATCACACTATTGCATCCAAAAAAAAAAAATATATGCAGCTGGAGAAAACAGATAATTGGGAAGATTCCATTGATGATATCATCATCAACTTTGAGAGGCAGAATCACAGGAAACTTTATTATAGCATATCCTACTATTGATTCCTGCAATTTTAGTTGAAGGATTGAGAACTTTTTTTTTCCCTTTTGAGACAGACACCAAGAAATGGTAGATGAGATGTAGTTATGTAATAGTAAGGTTTAGGCACTAATATAAAATATTAGAGGATTGGGCTACTTAAGCATTGTGATATATTGTGATCTGAGGTGTTTCATTTTGATTTGTGGTTTAAGGTGAATTTAAAATGCTACATATTCTATCTACTTGTACTGATGCAAAGGGGCGATTGGTAAGGAGTCATAACCAATTAAAATCGATTTTGATTGGATCCTGAGTTGAATTGAGTTATTTTAAATAAAGTTGATAGAGTGTGACGAGAGAGATTATATTTAAATAATATTTAAAATATAATGATTAAAGTTGACGTGATATAGAGAAAAAAATGATGAAAGTGGTAGATAAATGAAATATGTGAGTGAATGAATAGTGAATTAAAGTTGATGTGATGTAGAGAAAGATAATTGATATTATTTAATTATAGTGATAATATTGAGAATAGTGGGTGTTGAGTTAGATTNATGTATAATAGCAACTCACAAGGTTTAGATCAATTACAGGTGTGCGTATTTTTTTTTTTTTTTTTTGTTTTTGTTTTTCTGTATTTTTGTATAATTTTTTGGTTTTTAGTTGGAAAATAAGAAGAAGTTGCGGAGAGGGGAAAGGGAGACATAGAAGAAATTGGATAAAAAGTCATCAACATGGGTACTTGAAAAGAACAATTTTGAAATTGAGGTTGTAGTTGCATTCTAGGAAATTGAGTAAATTGCATATTTCGTGTATAACATAGTTTTATGGAAGACGGTTTGTCACCTTCCGATGAATTCTTCATATTTGGGTTGGTTTTGTATGGATTGTTATCCATTAAAGTTTGAAAGATATAGAAGTTATGACTTTTCTATATTGTTTTTTGATGAAAGATGTAATACCATACAGACAATTATAGAGAAAACAATCTCATTTATAGATGGAAATTTCCATTGCCAATTCTTATCTGATCAACATACAAATCAAAGCATCCGACAAAAATAAATGGTTGATGGATGACAATACACCTACAATTTTCATTTTCTGACTATCACTATTCAAAGCATCTGACAAAAAAGAAATGATAACAATATGGATCACA